TTTGAGGCCTATACTAATCTGGTCAGAGGGACTTAAAGGACAGTTTTTGCACCTTGCCCTCCAAGGTCGACTAAGTTCCAGGGGAGTATGGAGCATCTCTCAAAATGTCCTGTAACTGTGGTGAGTCTTTTTCAGGGAGGCCATGGAGACCTCACTAGTTGGACTTGAGCCAGTGCTCAGTCTACAAAGAAGAGGGTCAACTCAGAGGAAACATTTCTTCTATGCTTCCAAGTGAAGCCAACCATGGTCAAGCAGGACCTTTGACTTATCTTCACATAGATGGAACTGGTTTTAACCAGCCAGGGGCTCCTCACAAACACATGTTACCCCTGAGGAACAGACCCTCCAATGACCTGATGAGTAAAACTAAATTGGTTTATTTGGGCCAAATGTATCGTCTTAAACATCCAAAAGGAATCTATAACCAAAGATTAAAGGGGCCAATATAATTTCATAAGAGTCCTTATGAAGTTATGTTGGCCTATTTAATCTTTGGTTATACTTTCCTTTTGGGTGTTTAAGGCCATACAGTTGGCCCAGATAAACCAATTTATTTTTACTCTTAAGGTCATTAGAGGATCTGTTCCTCAGGGGTCACATGGGCTTGGGAGGAGCCCCTGGCTCCTTTCTTTTACCAGTTCCTCCTATATGAAGGTAAATCAAAGGTCCTGCTCGACCATGGCTGGCTTCACTCAGAAGCATGGAGGAAATGATTCCTCTGTGTTGACCCTCCTCTTTGTAGACTGGACACTGGTTCAAGTCCATCTGGTGGGGTCTCCTCGGCCTCCTTGATCAAGAGAACAGGTGACCCACCACAATTACAGGACATTTTGAGAGATGCTCATAGTCCCCTGGAACTAGTCAACCTAGGAGGGGAAGGAGAAAAAACTGTCCTTTATGTCTCTCTGACCAAATTAGTATAGGCCTCAAAGTATGTCTGTTAAATATCCAAGAAGGTTAGTTCCACCAGTCTGGTACATAAAATAAATAGAAATTTTAAAAAGCCACTCTGCTCACAGAATTTTAAGTAGATGTGAACTTCTTATGGGTTGGACCCCCTCAGGCGGCCACTGCCATGGGCACCAACAGCTGCACAACCTGGGAGCTGCTGGCACGGGCCAGCACCCTGCACCTGTAGACCAGGAACCTGCAGAACTGGGGCCATCTGCAGAAAAAATGCCCATCCACTCACAGTGAGGAGTTTCAATTGTATCCAAAAGACCTTGAATGAGTGGAGTTCCCAGATCAGCCCTGATTTGGCCAGGGAGTTTCCAGCTGTCTTGGAATGCACTGTATCCCATGCAGTAGAAAAGATAAATCCTGATGAGAGATAAGAAATGAAAGTTTTTGCACAACTGTTCATTGTAGGATCAAATTCTGCATCATCAACTAGAAGTGCAGTTGACATGGCCTGTTCTGTCCTTGGGGTTGCACAGCTGGACTCTGTGATCATTGCTTCACCTCCTATTGAAGATGGAGTTAATCTTTCCTGGGAGCATTTACAGCCTTACTGTGAGGAATTATAAAACTTAGTTCCAAGCAAGAAAATTGTTGCTATAGGTACCTCTGACCTAGACCAAACACAGTTGGAGCAGCTGTATCAGTGGGCACAGGTAAAACCATATAGTTATCAAGTTAATCTTGCCTCCTGCTGTGTGATGTCACCAGATCTGGCTGCATTTGCTAAACAGTTTGACATACAGCTACTGACTCATAATGATCCAAAAGAACTGCTTTTGGAGGCAAGTTTCCAAGAAGCTCTGCAGGAGAGCATCCCTGACATTCAAGCACAGGAATGGGTACCACTGTGGCTGCTGAGATACTCAGTCATTGTGAAAAGCAGGGGAGTCATCAAATCAAAAGGCTACATTTGACAAGCCAAAGAAGGCGCTCTTAACTACAACTCAGTATGAGTGTATTTCTCTTGAACATAAGATAAAATATATAAGATAAACTGAAATGTGTGAAAAATCTAGCTAGTGCCTATCAGAAGTGTCACTGAGGGTACAGTGAGCTGTTTTGGCAGCGTGCTACCTGTCAAGTTTTGAATACTTCTCTTGCCTCCGTATCAGTACACTCACGTGAACCATTGTTTTGTTTTCACTAAACTATTGTTTTCTAACTGAAGTTGTCTATAAAGAAAAATATTTGCAATATATTTCCTTTATTTTTATGAGAAATAGAAATCAAGAAAATTTGTTGTTAGATATATAGGCATCAGGGTAATGTATATACATATTTTTTATTTCAAGATTCATTTAAGGCTTTTCATACTATAAGCAATTTTTTTAATTTT